GCGGACCCTGCTCTCAGGGCAGGCGGAGTCAGCAAGGGTTAGTTAGAAATGAAACACATTAACCCCAAACCTAGGCGGAGGCTCTGACGTGGCCCTTTTAATAGTTTAACACTGAGGTCATTGCTCTGAACACGAGAGCAAGCGAACGGGACTCGGGTGTGGAGTTTGTTTGGTGGTCCTTTTGGGCCTTCTCCTAGCCCAGGCCACCTGACTTCTGGCCGTGTCCCCTCCCTCCCCTCCGGCCCTGCATCTCCTGCACAGAGGACCTCAGCGGCTGGCTCTTTCCTGGCTGGCTTGGGAGAAACTCGCCCCGTGTCCCCAGGACGTGAACCCACCCCCCACTTCCCAGGCCAGGGCGACAGGACAGGGCGGCAGGATCCCGTGGGGCCCACAGGCAGCTCGGGCCTTGGGAAGGTGGGGTGTTCCGTGTCCTCCCAGCCTGCACAATGTTCCCTGCAATGGAAACTTGGGCTGAAACGACTTGCAGCTTTCCAGATTTTCTGAGTGTGTGTATTTGCATTTATTTTTAGCCACCAGTGTTCATTTCTTGCCAAAAAAACCTGCTTAAATAAAAGCAAGATTAATATTTTTACTGAACGGAAAGAGTTAGTCAGGACGGACTTTGAACTGGAGACTGCTTATCTTGATGGGGAGTGCATCCGAAACGAACAAGAACGTCTGGCCTTGGCGTGGACGTCAACAAGAGGGCTTTGAAAGGGACGGCAGCCCTGGGGCGCCTGCATACAGGAAGAGCTGCTGGGCGGGGGAGGGAACCCGCCAGCTCTGTGGGAGCTGCTTTCCCAGGCACCCCCGCCTGGCTGGTCCTGCCTGCTTCCCAGACCTGACGGGTGGGTGGCTCACCTCCAGGTCCCCAGTCACCTGCAGGGACTCTGAGGCCCCTCTCCCACTTCTCTGCCCACTCCAGGCCAGGCCTGCCGCTTGCCCTGTCCCCGGGTTCACCACACCTCACACCGCCTTGGGGCAGCCTCTCGTCTCTGGCCCCAAGTTTAAGTACCAGGCCTCATAGGTCTCAGAATTCCTAGAGCCAAGCCCAGGGCTCCATGCACGACAGACTCACAGGTGTTCCTCTGACTCTGCTGCTGAGACCCCCCCTGTTCCACGTGTACTAAGTAAGGCCCAGGAAGACATGCTTGCTCCCAAAGCTCGCACATGAAAGTTACTTATCTGGTTTCCATCTCCCACTCTGTGTGACACTGAATATATTAAATCGCCTTTGGCTTCATCTATTCAGCCTAAACAAATCAGGTGCCTGTCACATACCAGGAACTTTTGGTTGCTCTGGGTAGAGTGGTTGATACAACAAAGAACTGCCTAGTAGCTGGGTGAAGTGGTGCACAGGTGTGTAGCCTCGGCTGCTCAGGAGGCTGAAGCAGGATGATCTCGAGTTCATTTGAGGCTAGCCTGGGCAACTTATAGAGCCCTTTTTTCAAAATAAAAAATAAAAGGGTTGGAGAAGTAGCTCAGGGTACAGTGCCCCTGGATTCAACCTCCAATACTGGGAAAAAAAAAAAAAGGAGAATGAGAGAACTTGCCTTATGAAGCTTATATCCTACCAGGGAGAAACAGTCAACAAGCATACGACTCTACACTGTCAGACGAAATCTGGGGGCATGGCGTGGAGGGACTGCAGGGTGGGGGCTGTCAGGATCAGGACGGAAAAGGGCCCTTGGCTGGGGCAGGGGTAGCAGGCACTGGCCTGGGGCAAGCTGCTGCCTCCCAATGCAGCGCTCCTGTCCCTTGTCCAGGGAGGCCAGGGTCGGTGCTGCACATGGGCATTGTGCTAGATTTCCTGGCAGGCCTTGGGGAGGAAGGAGGGTCCACTTGAGGAGGTGAGCTGAAGGTCAGGCCACTGGGTTGGTGGTGCTGGACCATGGGAGTCACAGTGGTCCAGGTGGCGTGAACTCCGAGGGGACAGAGCTCAGAGGCTGTGGGGGGTGCTGCCCTGGGCCTCAGCAGGAGCGGGAGGGCACTTGGCACCTGGCTGCAGCCCAGGCGGCAGCAGCTCGCTGCACGTGTGGGGACGAGGGTGATGCTGCAGGTCAGCAACAGTGGACTTCGCCACGGCTCGCGTCACCCGCCTCTCGGGCCTCTCTTGGCTTGACCTCCCACTTCTGAGTCTTTCTGAGGACACCTCTGGGGGGCTGGGCTGTGGTGACCAACAGAGCCCTACAGAGCGCACTGAGGGGATGCCGAGACCTCTGTGCGGGGAGACGCCTGTCCGGCCTGCCCTCGTCCCTGTGCCATCTTTCTCACGAGCCATTTGAGGACCTGCGCTTCACGGGGCAGCAGCTCCGCAGCGCCTGCTGCCTCCTGTCCTGTGATGCTGCCCATCTGGCTCGACTGAGCAGCCTGATGAGCCGGGGCCTTGGGTGGCGGAAGCCTTCCCGTGGGTCCGTGGGTCACTGAAGTTGTGCTGAAGAAATGTGCAGTCGCCTGCGGCTGAGGGGGGGCTGGGGATTCTGGTACCAGTCAGAGGCACGTGTGCAAGCATGTGTGAGAGTGTGCATGGGTGTGTGTGTGACTGGAGATTCTGGACTCACAGACACAGGCTGGAGACCTTGCTGGTGGTGGGCAACGGGGGGGGGGGCGGGCGGTTCTGCAAAAAAAGGGGGGGGGGGGGGGGGGGTGCGGCCTTCTGGCCTGCAGAAATGCAGTCCTGGCAACCTGGAGCCTCTGCCTGCCCTGTCCTGGGAGGCCACACTGGGGCTCCCATGGACCCCCGTAGGGTGGGGCAGAGCTACGGCTCTCATGGGGTGACACGAACAGACAGGGGCTGGAGTCGGTGTGCACCAGAGGGGGATCTTGGCTCTCCGAATCAGCCACGTTGCTGCCTAGCCCTCGGCCCCTGGGCCAGGTGCAAGGTCTGGACCTGATTGCTAATGGCTGGGTGGAGATGGGAGAAGAGGCTGCTGGTCAGCTCCTGGGGTTCTCTGAGGATGTTCTGAGGGGCAGCGCATGTGCCATCCTCGGACACAACGGCCACCTGGCTGTGGGAACTGCTGCTGCTCGTTCCAGATAGGAGTTTGTTTCCTGCCGAGCTGGCTCAGCTGCTGGCGGACGCTAGGTACACAGAGTGTGGCCCTGTCCAGCACACTGGCTGTAGCAGACCTGGGTGCAGTGGGCATCTGCAGAGCCAGTTTCTGCCGCCCCAGGGAGAAGCTAAGGGCTGCTAGGCTGAGACTCTGACCTCCCTGAGGCCCCCAGGCCAGTGGATGCCAGCACCATGTGGCCAATGGGAAAGTACAGAAGCCTACTTCTGAGTTGCAGAGAAGTGGGAACAAATGCAGGTGTGAACTCACGCACGAAACAGGCAGCTCGGGGCTGGCTCGGTCGGTGAGGCTCTGTGTTTGTAAGGAAGGCGCCGGCCTTGGCCTATCCTTCCTGGGCCACATGCACCGTGACACCGCCTGGTCCTCAAGGCCACTTGGCTCTGCATAGGTGGCACCTGGACTACAGTGCCTGAGATCGGGCTGGTCCCCATGCCCCTGACACCTGTGCACCTGTTCTGACCTCTTCCTGTTCACTTTCCACATCCTCCCACTGCGGTCCTGCAGGCCAGGACACCTGGACAAGCTCACCTGCCCCCGACTCGAGAGGGTACCCAGGCTGAGGCCGCGGCGCTGCAGCAGGGACAGGGGCCCACGGAAGTCAGGAGAGTGGTGACTCCAGCAGCACGGCGGCAAGTGCCTACGTGAGGATGGGAAGCGCCCTTCCTCGGCCCTCATGGCGACCTTCAAAGGCACATGCTGACATCCGTCGCACTTTACAGAGGAGGAGACCCAGGCCCAGAGGCTTAGGGATTCTCTGGTGTCACACCACAGCTGCACTAGGACTGGAACCCAAGCTCCAGGCTCTCGTGTTGCTGGGCCACTGTTAACGAGGACAACACTTATGGGCCACGTGAGAGGAAGGAAGGGAAGACGGAGGGACGAGGAGAAAAAGCTGGTGTGCAGGGATGGTGGGATCTAACTCCACGGGCGCCTCCTGTCACAAAACCTCTTATCACTGAACTGTGCTTAGAGGAAAGATTCCAAGTCCAGGCCGTTTCAGTGTCAGCAAGGAGCTGACTGGTCCCACAGGCAGAAGCTTCTAGATGGGACAGGGCCTCTGAGTCAGGTGGAGCCACGCCCGAGCCAGCACAGGGCAGACGCTGCTGTTCTGAGGGCAGACACCGCCTCAGTTACCTCCAGCCCAGCAAACGTGGAGGACGCTGCTGCAGTCAGGTGCTGAGGTGGACGCGGAAGCGAGATGGCCCAGGGTCCCGCAGCCTCTCTCCCCAGAGAGCGCAAAGGGAGGAAGCCAGTGGACCAGAACTGGGCCCGAGTCGAGATGGAGATGAGAGTGGCAGCACGGGGAAACGTGGACGTGAGCAGCGGGGCCACGGAGCCACGGGAGGGACGTGTGCGCGCGTGGAGGGTGTTCCGCTTAGCGCGTGTTCTGAGTATCTACTCAGAAAGTGGCTGGAACCAGGGACACTCACTCCGTGTGGAGGCGGAAGGAGAGCGGCCGCAGGGCTGCAGACAGCTCCAGAGCCAGCCCGCAGGCGTTCCGCCCGACACGGGCTGTGCATGCCCCTCTAGTCTCTCAGCCACTTCCACTGAGCCAGTGAGTGCGATCTCACACCCAGCCCCGTCCCGTGCTCCTGTGTGTGCACTCTCCGGTGCTCCCCGCGGAGTGGGACGGCCACCGTCATCTGCCCAGAGCAGCGAGGAGGGGTCGGCTCCTCTCATTTACCCCTGGGAAACTACATCTCAGATGGGGTCGATCGGAGTGGGACGGCCACCGTCATCTGCCCAGAGGAGCAGCGAGGAGGGGTCGGCTCCTCTCATTTACCCCTGGGAAACTACATCTCAGATGGGGTCGGGCTCGGGGCTCCACCTTCCCAGGCTCCTCGCCACCTTAAAGGCCACTGTGGGCACCAGTGGGCCTGGAGGGAGGGGAGCAGACTTCTGACCTCCTCGTGTCTTCCTGTTCCACAGTGATCCGCGCCAAGGTGGTGGGCAAGAAGCTGGTGAAGGAGGGGCCCTTCGGCACCATGGTCTACACCATCAAGCAGATGAAGGTGAGTGGGGAGGCTGGTGGGCTGGGTGTTTTGTTCCTGGCCTGCCGCCTTCAGGCTGCTGCTGTCCCACAGCCAGGGTGCTGGTGGGGTCAGAGCCGCCTGTTACCCGGAGCCTGGGCTCAGGTGTAGACCTACACAAACATGACTGAAATGCGGGCGCTGGACAGCGCAGACTCAGGGCCCACGCTCCACAGTGCCCTAGCCTGTGCTGTCCCCAGGGCTGAGCCAGGGGCCTGGTCCCCAGGAGGAGCCCCACCAGCTCTTGTCTCCCCTTCTGATCTACTTCCTGCATTCCAGCTGGAGTGCAGCGTTAGTGTGTTCCAGCGTTAAACACTCACTGAGCACAGACCCTAGGGGAGCTCAGGAAAGGAGCCCTGTGGCCTTGGCCACCTCTCCCTCTCCTGGCCTCCGTCTCACCACCTGTTAGCTGTGCAGGGTTGGGCCGGGCACCCCAGCAGTGTCTGGCACAGGCATTCCAGCGCCCCAGACACAGGCAGTGCCGCTGCCAGGCAGGGGCCTGCGGCCGATGCTGCAGAACACACTTCAGGTTTGTGTCAGCACCAGGCACTGGTGTCGGCCACCCACCACCACATCTCTCGCGTCTCTTTAAGTTCAGGGCTCTGTGTGGGAGCCGAGGGGCTGCCGGCGGGATGCCCTTCCCAGCACAAAAGCAGACACGGGGACTAAGTAGATGTTCCACACAGGGCTGCCCGGCCGCGGGGACCTCAGCTCTGCTCCTCACTACTCCCAGGGTCCCGAGCCACAGGAAGGGGCCCGGCGCTCTCGGGCCCTGGTGAGTGGCTGCCGCAGGATGGGGGCCTGCCGAGGCTTAGCTGCGTGTCTCTCTGCTGCACGGCGGGGCCGCGGGCTCAGAGCACTGATTCTGCGGAACCTGTTGCTGTGGACCCTGTCTGTGCGCACGGCCTCTGTTATGTAACACCTGGAGTCACCATGGCCAGCTGCCCTGGCCACCGAGTGGGCCACGAGATGGCTCATGTCTTCGCAGCCCTGGAGGGGCAGCATGGGCGGGTAAGGAGCCAGCAGGCGCAGCCGCAACCCCAAACCCACCTTGCAGCTCTGGCAGCAGCAGGGAATGCCAGAGCCCATTGGACCTGAGAACACGTCCAGCTCCCACTCCCGCAGCGGTTCCTGCACACTCTGACCCCGCGGGAAGACAGGGAAGCCAGGGCAGGGGTCCCAGAGCTGCCTTGGCTCCCTTCCGACTGAGGCCTCCTGTGTGCAGTGTCCCCTTCCCCAGCCAGTGGGGGATGTTTAGAGGACAGATGACGTCTGCTCCTGTCCAGACCCGGCACCCATCCCCGGTGGTGGGTGTGGGCTGTCTACCATGGCTCTGCCCATCAGGTATAGACTCTGCTCCTTCAAGGAGGACCACAGCTGTGGGTTTTGTTGAGGGCGGGCTGGTGCCAGCTCTGTGTTTGCCACACGACACCTGGCTCCCTCCTGTCCCTAGACTCAGTGTTTGGGCTGCAGAGCTGCTCAGTGCCCATCTGTCCTGAGTGCCCACCTGCCTGCAGGCCAGACAGGCCCCATTGGAAGGGGAGCCCACCCCTCCACCTGGGCCCAGTACCCAGCTGGGCACCAGAGATGATGCTGGCGACGGTGCACAGAGTTCCAGGGCCACTGACAGCTGCTCCCTGCCCACCTCTCGTGAGCCTTTACAGGCTCAGTGCTCACACTGCACTTGGAAACTGACCCTTCACACTCAATTTCACCAGGGTGGGGGGGGCTGAGTCTTGCAGGGTGGACCATGGTCAGGATCCTATGGCTGGAAAGTGTGATTATTCCTCTTCTCGTATGGTTACACATGTAAAACCCAAGGGTGCCCACCAGGAGGTTAGTGTGGGGCAGCAGCCAGCCTGCCTGTGCCTGCTCTGGGGGCTGCCCCTTGCCCTGCCTGTATCTGGCTCCCCAGGGATCAAGAGACAAGAGGGCGCCTGGGCTTGCTGGTGTGGAGATGGCAGTGCTGAATGGACCTGCAGCCTGCAGTCTGTCTCAGGAAAATCTGCAGGAGGAAAGCTCAGGGTCCTAGCAGCCAGGGAGGAGCTTTGACCCCAGCACAGGGGGCTTCTTTCCAGGGAATTAGAGCACCTGCCCCAGGAGTCTGAGGAGGGCTTCCCGTAGTCAGGACTGGAGGAACTCAGGAGCAGATGGGCCCATCTGCCTGCCCTGCAGCCCTGACCTCTCTCAGGCATGCCCTGGGGTGCCCCTGGGCGTGCACAGTGTTAGGGCGGAGAGGCCCATGCTGCAAACCAGATGTGGAGATTGGCTGGGCTCAGGATCTGAGCTGTGCTTAGAGGTGATGGAAGTTTCCAGAACAGCCTGCCCTCATCTGTGGGACCTCATCTCCCACTGGGGCCGTGGGAAAGCCGCCACTCTGCTGGGCTGTTGTTTGTGAAGTGGAGACATGCTGTCAGGCTGGCTGCAGAGGACAGCACGTGGGGACACAATGTCCCAGCTGGTCCCTGGGGATCCCAGGGAACAGGTCCTGGTCACGGCCTTGGACGGTGCTGACTGCGGAGAGTTGCCGGCCTTGCCCTCAGCACTTTGAGTAATTAAATGAGCCCTAGCAGGGTTTCCTGCAGCTGGAAGCTCTGGGACCCCAGGGCCAGGGACGGCCCTCCTCCCAGCCTGAGGCTCTTATCCAGTCTCTGTGGGGCTCACGTCACCGCCACGTGTTCTGCCAAGGAGAGCCACTCTGTCAGGGAGGACCGTGCTCGGGTGTCTCCGGCTCCTACTCAATGTCCCCAAGCCTTGAGTGGCTTGTAGATAAGATACGTGTAGGCTGTGGATTCAGTGAGCTCTTTATGTGCCCCTCCAAGAGCCCCACCATTCCATGGGCGTGCAGCGAACGCCTGGTGTGGCACACCGCATCTGTCGGGCTCTTCACAGGAAATGCGTGGGGCCCGGAGCCAGAGACATCTACAGGAGGTGTCCCCTCCCTGGGAGGGCGAGCTCCCTGGCCCCTGTGCAGAAGCCACCAAGAAGGGGCCTGAGGCACGCAGAGTCCGCTGCCGGAGAAGCGCTGCCTGCTCCAGACCCCGGCCCGAGCCCTGCCCTCCTGCCCTTCTGAGTTGGGGGATAAGTAGTTTTAAGCTAATTCTGCAGCACACACTGGATGCTCTGTGCTAGGCACGATGCTAAATCATTCATTCCACTGGGGTCCAGATGGGTTAAGTAACTTTCCACGAGGCCGGTCCAGGCTTTGGTGAGACTCCCCCCAGCTTCCGTATCCAAGTGGGGTTTAGGAGCCTCAGTGCCCTTCCTTACCGGGGAGCCCAGAAAGCTGAGGTCCCCACTCCGGAAACCACCCCCAGCCTCCTGGGAGGTGGAAGCAAGGCCACCGCACCCCTTAAGCAAGGCAGAGGCCCCGACTCTGTGGGTCCAGCAGACAGCTTTGTGATGCCCAAAGTCCGAGAGGACCACCCGCCCCCAGCGGCTGACACTTAGAAGACAAGGGAGGAAACTGCCTCGCAGACCTGATTGGGGTGTGGATGAGATGCTCTGTGCTAATTACCACAGGCAAATTAGCAGTGCATGCCAGGAACCCAAGAAGGCTGTGTTCTGCTGTAAACCCATGGGACAGGCCCAGAGGCCACCAGCAGACAGGGTCATGTCTAGGTGTCACTCCGCCCTCCTGGCTCATGTGGTCAAACTGCTGCAGCAGTGGTTCAGGGCCTGCATGTCACTCATGCTGGGACTGTGAGCGGACCCAGAACAGAGCCACAGGGGCCAAAGATGGAAATGGCCCCTGCTGGGCAATAGTTAGGAGCAGGGTATCCCTGGTCCCTAGGTTGTGACTCAGCTCTGCCACTTGCTGGCTTTGTGGCCTCTGACAGGCTCCTTGGCTGACCCGTGGCCTGGGCTGAGTGAGGCACGGGGGATCTTTCCACAGCGGCTTCTTTGAATTTCAGGAATGTGTTGGGATCTGAGTACTGTGCAGCTGTGGGTGTGCTGAGGGGCAGCTGGGATGGGGTGCTGTTGGCCAGACAGGAGGGCTCCCTGGGGAGGGCCAGCGGTGCCAGAAGGAGGGCAGGGCCTCCTGTGCCTCTGAGGACAGCGGGGGAGCCTGGCTCCCTCAGAGGGGTGGTGGCGAGCTGCAGGCTGGGCTCCTCTCACAACACCCTGCCTCTGTCCGCAGATGTACCGAGGCTTCACCAAGATGCCGCACGTGCAGTACATCCACACAGAAGCGTCGGAGAGCCTCTGCGGCCTGAAGCTGGAGGTCAACAAGTACCAGTACCTGCTGACAGGTGAGGCGTGCACCTGCCACTCTGCACATCTGTGGTGAGGCGAGAGCACCCATGTGTGCCTGTCCTGCCGCCTACACTGGGCCCTGCAGGTCTCCTGGCTTTGTGGCCCCTCCACTTTCCCATACGTGAAAGGAGGTGGCCTGTTGTGCCCCTCACGGCCTCCCTGCCCTTAAGAGTGACCCACCTGTAGGTGCTCAGTGCCACAAAGGGGGAACCATGACCACAGGAGTGGACCGATAGCCCAGACTGTGCTGTCGTCCGGGCAACGGGCCACAGTTCCAGCCAGCAGGTCAGGATGGAGTTGTGCAGTGGTGGACACATGGGTGGGAACTGCTGTCCTCCCCGAGCTGTGCATACAGTGCATGGTCTCTCTCCTTCTGCAGGCCGTGTCTACGATGGCAAGATGTACACGGGGCTCTGCAACTTTGTGGAGCGGTGGGACCAGCTCACTCTCTCCCAGCGCAAGGGGCTCAACTACCGCTACCACCTGGGCTGCAACTGCAAGGTGAGCCGGGCAGGCATGGCCGGTGGGCGAGGTGCCCTCGAGTGGCATATGCCGGGGCGCGGGGTAGGCACAGGAGAGCCACGTGCTGCAGGTCCTGCCAGGCAGCCCAACAGCGCTCAACCTGGCAGCAGACTGCGGCCCCAGTGGCGTAGATGCCTGTCCTCAAGCAGCCCAAGCTCTAACCCTCATGACAGCCTTTCGTGGTCTGAATTACTCGGACCCCGTCCTGCAAAGAGGCTCAGCTTAAGTCAGCAGCCTCCGGTCGCACAACTCGCAGAGTCTGACTTCCAGCCCAGGACAGTGGGGCTCCAAAGATGACACTGTCAGTCCCCGGTGGCAGAGGTCTCCCCTCTGCTGCTTACTAGCCGTGTGCCCTCGAGCGAGTTACTGAACTTCTCTGAGCCTTTGCCTTTTCATCTGTGAGAGGGAGGTTTCATCTGTGATGAGTTAAAGGAATGACTCAGAGTTGCAGGGCACGGCCGGTGCCCAGTGATGTGAGCGACTCGTACTTAGGCTGCTAAGGGCCTGGGCCTGGGCGGCCTGTGCAGTGGCCCCCGGGTCCAAATCCAGGGCAGGCAGCAACAGGCCTGGGCCACCAAGGCAGACAGAGCCCGCCAACTGCTGGGTGGGTCTCGTTGCAGATCAAGTCCTGCTACTACCTGCCTTGCTTTGTGACCTCCAAGAATGAGTGCCTGTGGACCGACATGCTCTCCAGCTTCGGCCACCCCGGCTACCAGTCCAAACACTACGCCTGCATCCGGCAGAAGGGCGGCTACTGCAGCTGGTACCGGGGCTGGGCGCCCCCGGACAAAAGCATCATCAACGCCACAGACCCCTGAGCCCGGCCCCTCCCACCGCGCCTGCGTCCCTCCCTCCCTGCTGAGCTCCCCTTGGACACTAACTCTTCCCAGATGACGACAATGAAATTAGTGCCTGTTTTCTTGCAAATTTAGCACTTGGGACACTTAAGGAGAAGTCTGTGCTGTCCATGGAGTTGATCTGGAACCACCCTCCTGGCCCCACCCGACCCTCTCTCTCCCTGCTTTTGACATCACCCATTTGTACCCTGGGAATTTTTGGTGCCATGCCGGAAGGAATGAGGAATGTAGTAGAGTCCTCTTCCTTGTGATATATAATCTATATTTTTTTAGGAAAACAAAAATCAAAAAATCTACCCCCTTTGGCCACTGTAACAGCTCCTCGTCTTTCTTCTTCCTGCTTGACATCTCCCTCCCTCCCCTTGCACCCTCCTCTCCTTCCAAAACATAGAGGACGCAGACAGGAAGTTGCTGAAGCCAACTGCTTCCGGGTCAGTCCGGGCAGCCAACAGGTAGACCCCAGGTAGGCGGAAGAGCTTGTACCCAGAGGAGACACTGCTGCACGTCCCCAAGAGGGCCTGGCCTTGTCTCTCTGCACATCAGAGCAGGCTGTAGGAGAGGGTATGGCATGACACAGCACAGTCCCCAACTGCGATGCTGGGCTGCCCAGCTGTTTGTGAGTCTGGGTTCAGCTCAGGCCAGAAGCACAGTGCTGGCTCAGGTGGTCAAGGGATAAACATGTGCCTGAGGCCTGCTGCCTTGTGCAGCTCAGGCGAGAGGCTGAGACAAATGTCTTTCCTCTCCTGCCTCCCTCTGCCACACTGAGGGAGGTTCGCGGAGCCACATCTGTGTGAGTGGGGGACACACTCCCTGCACCCCCGTGGATAGACCCGGGTGGATCTGGGTAGGGAAAGCTGTTTCCGAGTAGTGTGTAGCTCACCAGGGGATGCGTCTGTACCCACACCTGCATATACCTACGTGCGTGGGGGCATAAGCTAATTTTCTACAGGACACAGAATTCTGTTCAATGCTGTTAAATACGCCAATAGTTTAATCTCTTCTATTTTGTTGTTGTTGCTTATTGGAAGAAAATCATGACATTCCAAGTTACTTTTTTCATTTTAATTAAAAATTGAGATTCTAAACACCCTCAGCACCCTCTTTTCCCTACCCCTGGGGTCATCCAGCCTCTGTCCCTCTCTTTTCCCCCTGCTTCACCTCTGGGGGCCTTCACTTAACTGCCTTACTGGCTTGGCAGACAGCAGGTGACAGTTGCTTTGGGCAAGGCCTTCGCACAGGAGGGGCAGCTGTGTCCTCCCGGTTGGAAGGCCGCCTCTCCCTCGGGTTTGGGGCAGCCTGCGCCCCTTCCCCAGCTCACGGTCAGTGATGCCACCTCCCAGTCCTCACCTGGCGAGGGGGCGATGTGTGGTCACCAGGGAAGCCTGACTCTGCAATCAACTATAGGATTCTGTTGTGTTTTTTGAAATAAAACTATAATATAAATCATCCTATTAAATAAAATTATTTTAAGTTTTAGTGTCACAAGTGAGACGCTGAGAGTGACAGTGTAAATGTTCCAGAGCTGGGGAGGAGAGGATGGTGGCTTCGAACACGACTGCTCTCTTTTTTCAGATTTGGGGGATGAATCCTCTGTTAGTGTTCAGACCTTCAATTCATCCCATTTTAGGAAACAGAGCTGCCAACCGAAGACAGAACAAGGACATCCAAGTCACAGTGACACGCACAGGCACACACACACATGCCCAGGCCGGGGACAGCACGGAGTCGGGGCTCCTCAGGACTGGTTCCAGTATCTGCTCACTTCCCTGTGGTCTGCACCAGGCCAGGGGGAGGTGGGGAGTGGCCTCTAAGGACAGTGGGAGCAGAAGCAGCTCAGGTCTGCACCCCAAGTTTAAGGGGTGAGCCCCAGACCTGGTGCTTGGGATTGTCTTCATTTCAACCTTGGGGGCCGCACGACAGAGCTCTACCCAAGTGCCCTCCCTACATGGCATCAGTGTCTCTCCTATGAGGCACCTGGCTGTTCCCCATGCCGGGACAATCACCCCCTCACACAGTGAGGCATTTGGGGTGAGGCCTGGGCACAGAGTGCCTGGAGTTTCCAATTGCAGAGTAAATACTGGCGGAACCATAGCTCCAACTGTTAGGCTGTGGGGGCCCTGGGCCCTGAGGGTCTTTTGCAGAATGATGTGTCAGAGGGCAGGTTTTGAGCTTTCTATAAGCTACAGCTTTGTTTATTTCACCTGTTCACTTACTGTGTAATTTAAAGTCATTTATGTAGCCAAGGCACTTCTGTATTGCAATCATATCATGAATGTCTTATTTTGCTAGATCTGTGTCATGTGTAGGCTGTAATATGTGTACATTGTGTCTAAGAGAAAAAAGTGATATCCACATGCCGCCATTTTCCTGAATCAAATTTTACAGTGGAAGGGAGGGTAAAAGACTTACTTGGGCAGGCAGCGAGACTGGCAAGTCTGGGAACTAGAAGGAACAGAGACTCTTCCAGCCTCCTCCCAGGGATTCCCCCAGCAGGAAGTAGAAAGGAAAAAAAATAGAAAAGTACATTCATGTCCTTGTTCTGTAGCAGCTGGCCTGGGTCATTGGCCATCTACTCCCTCTTCCCCTACGCAGGTCCTTCCTTCCACTTGATTGGAAGCCAGGATTTCTCCTAAAAGTCCAGGGCCATAAAAACTATAATCCCAAGTTCTCTTTGCTTCTTCTGGGCATCTCTGCTGCCTCTGATCAAAGAAGCTACATGCCCAGGCCAGTGGTCTGTGAAGGCCAGGAGGCATGCTAGGCGGCCCTGTGCCTCACTATCCCAGCGCCAGACCTCACATGACAGCGATAGCCCATTTTTCATACCATGGTTCTAGAACAATAAGAGACACCAATGACTCCTTCAAATCACTCTTCTGGGAGGTCCTGCGGCTCCCAGAGGACAGGACCCCACCCTACCTCAGCCCTTCCCTTGTCTTTCGCATGGTGATCAGCAGTGCAGATCGCCAAAGATGTCCCTTGAGTGTTTGGCTCCTGGCTACCTAAAGCAGAACTATCACTAGAGTATTTGCATAGGAGAGAAGTGGGCATCAAAATCGAATGGCAGAAGCACAACAAAGGTCATGCAGAGGGGGTGGGGATCAACCACTTTGAAATGGGTTCTTTGCAGGTGAAAGGAAGGGAAGAATGCAGAGACATCCATGTGCTGGGGAGGGCTTCTGAGATTTCCCAGGCCTCCTCTGTCCCCTCCCAGCCAGTCTGCCATGCCACGACCCAGAAGCGATGAAGAGAAACCAACCAGAGAAAACCCTGTCTGGAAGGAATGTATCTGTTGCTAAATTTTGTAGCACTGTTTACAGTTTTCCTCCATGTTATTTATGAATTTTGTATTCCGTGAATGTATACTGTCTTGTAATGTTGCATAGTGTTCACTTTTTATAGTGTGTCCTTTATTCTAAACAGTAAAGTGATTTTATTTCTATCACACACGGGCCGTCTCATGCCTCATTATATCCAGACTTCCCCTAGAGGGGACCAGGGGCCATGGGAGTCTGTCCTGCCCTCCCCCAGCCCTTGCATGCCCTCCCTCCACCCACACCACTGCTCGAGCCCACCCTGCCCCATCCTTCCCCTTGGCAGGAGGAACTTCAGAGAGGGGGCCCACATTTCCTCGTGGCTGCTAATTTGGCCCTGCCTCTGCTCCCCGATTCCACTGCCAGTTCCCCCTAGTTCTGCAGCTTGTAGATCTCTGTGTAGCCAGGGTGGTACAGGTTCCCCCTGACTGGGGCCCTGACTCAGCCTTCTTGCTTGCTTCTTGAGAATCCTGCTCTGGTGGCAGGAGAGAGGCTCACAGTCGGCTAGAAATTTCGAGCGAAGCTTGACCAGGGACTCCTGAGGCCCACGGACAATGGGTGAGCCCCTCCCAGGCCCACAGTCAGGCCTGTCACCTGGCACAGGACATGAGTCCAGCGTCAGCCCTGCCTTGATTGCCCCGTTTGAAAGGTGTGCTGCTCGGAGCCCCTGCCACAACCCAGGTACAGCACTGTACACACGGTCACACGGAATCACTACAACCAGATGAGGCCGTCCACTCTGCCGCAACATAACTGAGCAAAGGAGACCGAGGTGCTGACGGAGACCTAACAGTAAACAGCTGGTTACCAACTCGGCTGGTCTGAGTTCTCTCCGCCGTGTGGACGCTTTGTTGGCAAATGCCAGGCTTCATATGTGCCCTCTGGATGCTGCAGCACAGGCTGGACCCTGGGACTGTAACCAGACCAGGTACAGCCAGTGGGAACCCCGCCTGGTGAGACCGCTCCCCTCTATACAGCGCCGTAAAGCTCAGCAGCCCGAGTGTCGATTCTACAACCAGGCACAGCCGCTGGCCGGGACTGCAGGCTGCCTGTCTGTCATCATAACCCAGATCCCCTGCACACCCAAGGCCAGAGCCCCGTGCCCTTGTGACCAGTTTAAGGAGGCCACCAGCCGTGCAAGCACGCACACTGCAGGCTGCTTCCAGCTGCTCAGAAGGCTCCAACTCCACTTCCGGCTGGGGCACAGAGCTCCCCACTGCATTCCACAAGACCACATGAGCGGCAGCATCTCCATCTCCCAGAGGGGAGGCCACACCACGAAATCCTCACTGTGCCCAGCAGTGTCCCAGAGACAACCTCAGGAGCAACCAGAGTTGGAAGAAAAGAGCACAGGAACACATCACCTCTCAACAATCAAATAAAAGAGGGCCACTTTAAGTCAAGTAAGAGTTGAAACCAGGTCCCGGAAAGGGCTCAAAGTGAAATGAACATTTCTCCACGAAAACATCTTTTACCTTTACCATGAACCTCTGACTGCCACGGGCCCGCTCACGTTGTCCCGACTTGCTGACAATTTCCAAAGTCCCGAGAAATGCTGTCCCTTCTCGCCTGCCCTACTGCCTGCACGTCTCCTGGAGAGACACAGCCAGGCATCCGCACCTGACACGGAGCCTCTTCTCTACAGCCCGGAAGGGCAGGGAGCGGCGACCTTGAGCCACCTCCTCTGTCCAGAGCGGCCAAAGACACAGACCTCAAGCGCATACCGCACGGTGAAAGGAAAGAAGAAAACAGGGCACTCACCATTGGCTTGTGGTTGGGGAAGAACGTCTGTTCCACGAGTGGAAACTTCTCGGGGCCCAGGGTATGGAAGATCTTGATGAGCTGGGAGAACTGGAGCGGGAGAGGAGAGGACCTGTCAGCTGCGGCTGCCCCTGTGGTGGAGCCACCCTCGATCCTCCTGCCTTGAGCGGAGCTCCCGCAGCCGGTCTCGCTGCTGGGGTAAAGGCAGTGCCCTCGCCTGGACATGTGCCCTCTCCATGGTGCAGCCACACCCTGCACCATTCCCGACTGGCCTCATAGGCAAGTGGAACACTGGTTCAGCTCAACCACACTGATTGCTTGATGGGCTGACTGCAGTACTGGGGACTGCAGTAGCAGGCCCTGTGCACTGAGCTGCATCCCCAGACTTACAGGCTCCTGCCAAGTTGCTAAGCTCCCAGGGTTGGGGTCAAACTTTTGATCCTCCTGCCTCAGCCTCTGGCAGTGCTGGGGTTACAGGGCCACATCACACGACTCAGCTTTCAACTGCATCCAATGAGCACTTACTACATACTCAGCAGTATTCCTGTTGGGTGCACAACCTACTGATGTTCACACCATGTCCCCCTGCAATGCCTCTGTCCAGAGAGGGAGCCCCGCAGGGGGTGGATGGCTGCAGACTCTGGATTCCGCCTCCCTGGGTTCAAATCCTTGCTGTGCAGCTCACTAACTGTGTGACTGGGAAGTCACTGCAGGTTTCTGCAAGCCAGCGACCACATAAGCAAACTGGAGATGACAAGGGAGCCGCCCCATGGGTGGCTTCTGTGACGAGCTAGACAAGGGTTGGGCTGTGCAGCCCGAGTGCCAGGTGACGGTGCCTTCTCCGCTTTACAGCAGCTTCCCCTGCACTCCCCACCCATCTGCACTTCGTCCTCACGTCGTCTTCTTGTCACAGGGTGAGCCCCACCCCCACTGCCTGGCATCCCCCACACTGTGCTCGATTACCGGGGACACAGGGAGTGAGGCAGACCAGGCCTGATGGAAACCAGGCCACAGGGGCATGGGGTGTAAATCTGGGTGCAGGATGGGTGACAGGACGGCTCCCCAGAACAGAGGACCTAAGAAGGGGCGGGCAGGCCAGGAGGGCGTGAGGCTGTGCCTGCACCCACAGGGCGTGGGGACCAGGGTGGCCCACCCCAGGCCGGCCCATCCCAGGCCCCAGGCCCCTCAAAGGCCAGCCCAGGAGCTTCCACCGGGCTGGGTGGAGCAAGCAGGTCAGGGCTCCAGTTCGCGCTGAGCGGGATGACTGCAGGAGCTGCCCCACTTGGCTCCATGTACCAAAAATCTCAGCTAGAGCAGTGAGGGGACCGAGGCGGCCCTGTGATAAAGGCCACCCACACCCACAGAGCCCCGGCACACACATCAGTAAACACCAAGTGCAACAGAACAGGCACGAAGGGCAAAGACCACCATCACCATTTATCAAGGGTGAACTTTGTGCCAGCCACCACTGTAGACACGTCGCGTGTGTGAACACAAAACCCTACTGGGCAGGCCCCATGACTGTCCCTGTCCTACACGAGGATGTGAGGTTCAGGGAGGCCATGCAGGGTGCTCAAGGGTACATAGCTCATGGTGGAGAAGCCCGGGCGGAGGCCGACTGGGCCCAGAGCTGGTGCTCAGCCCACCTCGCCTGCAGGTGACCACAAAGGGACAACAAAGCAGGCAGCCCGAGAGCTGCGCTGCACCGAGATGCCCAGACCCAGGCCCCGTGCTTCTCGGCCTCCGTCCCTACTGCGTGTCCCCTGTGGCATGTACCACAGGACACAGCAACACATCACGCACCTGAGTGGTGTGTGCCCAGCCTGTGAGAATGTGAGGTCTGGGGCAGGCCCTCGGCTGGCTGGCTGCCTACTGCTCTGTCCCCAGGGCCCGGAACAGCACCCAGAACATGGTGAGCAGCCGCAACTGAGTGCTGCGTGGTGGATCGCCAGCGCTCTAGGTGCAGGGAGCAGCACGAGGGATTCCAGGTGTGAGGGAGAGGAGAGCTAGCATTGGAGGAAAAGTCTCTCTTGTTGGTAACACCTGGGTGGAAACAAATTAAATGAGTGAAACCAACGAGGAGAAGGGGAGAGATCAAGTCACTGAAGCTGGAGAGAAACAGCTTTAAATTCTGGCCGTCAAAACCCTGGAGACTTCCCTGGCCACCCTGAAGCTCAGCTTCCTTCCTGTGCCACAGAGGGATGAGGCCCCTGCCACACGACAGGGATCACATGAGCACCAGTATGCAGTAAGTGCGCAATTAATAACACCAGCTGTTAAGAGCGGTGGTGATGTGATGGCAGAAGACGCCACAGTACGGTGGCTCTCTTTAGCCAATCTTATGTAGTGTTCTTAAATAAAATGTGTTAGGCAAGGATTCCAAAGGAATCCCAGGGCCTAAGTTGCCTAGATTCATTGCTGGCTGGGCCACTATGGGTTCCCACCCCTTCAGACCAGCCTGGCAGGGCGCTTACCACCCAGGGCTTGCTGCAGAAGTTGTAGACAGAGTACAGGGAGTTGACGGCAGGCAGCCCCCCATACTGCAGGCCGATGACCAGGCTGCGGTAGTCCTCTCCAAGCGCCATGCTGTAGGCGTGCTGGCGGACCAGCAGGAAGTCTGGCTTGAAGGACCTGCCAAGAGAGGGGCCACAGGGTCACTCGGGCTGCCCGATGGGGCACAGCGGGGGTGGTGTGTTCCTACTGGGAGCCCTCAGCTCTGGGTGGGAGGGTGGGGTGTGCTTGGCGAGAGCACAACCATGGTGCTCAGCTGCATGGTAAGGGGCCGAAAACTGAGCACTCCCGTCTGGTTTCTAAATCCCCTGCATTGAATATCTGCTTCCTTTGCAATCAGAAAGACATATCCAACTCCGCTGGCCTCGGGCACCTTATGAATTATGTGCACCCCGCAGCAGGAACAACATCTTGGGGGGGCATGGCTGCCAACCCCGTCGGATCATTTGCTCGAAAGTGGAACAGCAGGTAGTGGCTGCTGAGGTCTGTGCTCCCTGCCAGCTCTTGCTCTGTCTTGGTGCAGGGGCCTCCTTGCCATGCATTTCAGATGGGACATATCCTGCTCCCGCCAAACAGCGGCCTCTGTACATGGCAGGGCTGTGAGGGCAAGGGACAAGGGCATGCAGGTGCTGTGCTGGGGACGCTTCTGAGCCACAGACAGGCCGGAGTCCAGGCTGCCTCCCCATGGTGCAGCTGGGAACACAGCAGTCAGCAGAGGCTGAGTGTTGCCAAGCCATCTGGGGGAGGGAGCTGCCTAGGGACTCTGGCGCCCCACTGCAGGTCACGCTTTCCTACCAGCACACAGATCTGGCTGATTCCCACACTGTAAAGGGTCGGGCTATTTCTGGGCTCCCCACTAAGTCACGTGGAAACCCAGCCTGCTGTGGTGTGGGGTGTGCGCGTCACACACCCCCTCCAGTTCACCCACTGCATCTGAGTCGGGTCTTGAACTTCAAATAAATTGTGCCCCTTTCACAGAAACCAGTACCAGTGAAAAGAACTCTCCAAGGGCACACAAGTGCCCACCGAAGGCAGGGGAAGGAGAGTGCTTGGTGCAGACACTTCGCTCTCCTCCAAGAGCCAGGGCAGGCACACAAAGGACAAACGAAGTAGTCCGAGTGTCACCCTCACCGACACAGGACAGACAAGAACCACCCGCCCAGCTGCGCCTCCTCCTGGGGCCACTGGGACCCTGAGGTCCTCGGCACAGTGTGGAGCTGGTCAGGCACCCAAGTCACTCTGTGCAGGCGAGGGACAGGAGTGGTAGCAACACAGAAGGAGGGAAGGAGGGAGGGAGGTGTCCCTGGGGACCCGACAGCCAGAAGGGACACTTCACTGCAATGTAGCCACTGCTGACTTGACCTGATTATAAAAGCAATACCCCAAACCCCTTGGAATATGCAGAAAAGTAAACAAAGTACTCGGAGAAACTACTCGGAAAGTTCCTGACAATATTCACATGCACATTTGGATTCAATCATCTATTTTGCTGTATGTAATGTGCATTCACGCTCATTCATGCTATTAATTGTGATTTTGGAATTTTCCACATAAAATCATGGCACATGCATTTTCTTTAATGTCAAAATACCCTCAAAGTATAATTTCTGCTAGCTACACCGTGGCCTGATGAATGATGTATCACAATTACATCACCAAATCATCTACACTGGTCAGTAGGCTGTGTCCAATATTTCACACACAAGTACCTTTGCACACAAATCCATGTCAACATTCTTAGCTACTTCTGTAAGATAGATTTTGAGAGCATAACTCTTCTCAGAGATGTGCTCCTCTTTTCCAGGTGAATTTCACCAGTTTCCTGTGAGAAGGTCCACTTCCTCCCAGCCTCACCGGTACTATTTTGGAACATGTTGTTCCATTCCATTGGGAACATCCCCTGGAAACACCCTGTATCTCACTGTTGATTTAGTGTGCATTTCTCTGATTCTAGTGCAATTGAATTCTTTTCGTGAGCCACTTGTATTCTCCTTCCTGTGAAAGTCAGGCTCACGTTTTTCAAATGGGGACTTACAGTTTTTGGGTGTTAGAGCTGTTGGCCAGGCCCCTCAAGGAAGGACTCAGTCAGGAAACAAACCGGCCGACAGACTGGGCTGTGCAGAAAGAGGGGCCCAGCTCCTTCCAGGGCCGCTTGGCCTGGGCCCCCCTCCCGGTCCCAGACAGCACCAGGCTCTCTCTCCAGTGTGCCAAGCCCGCCAAGTCAGAGCTTTCTAATCCTTTGAAATCAAAGGCAGAGGTGTCCTCTTCTGTATCTTCAAGGGCTTGGGAATCTACCTCCTTCGAAGTGCGCTATCAAAATGGCACCTGGTTCCCCAGTGGGAAGCCTGTTGAAGTCCCTGCGTGGGGACCACAGGTGCTGGCTCCTCCACATGGGCTGAGCCCGGCCCACCTCCATCTTCTCCTTCCAGGGGCTGCACGGACCACGTCCCTTCTTCCAGCTCCGCTGGCTCTCTCGTCACACACGGTCCCTGCCACACTGCTCAAATGTGCCCGCCCTCCACAGCACTGATGCTCTTTCCTTTCTGGTTCCTGGGCCAGTTCTGTTTCTTCTGCTGACTTAGCTGTTCTCAATGAGGACCGGGACATGTGAAACCTGAACATTTGTGAACGCACAACTGCAGAAGTGACAAGGGAAGGAATGCGTGCATGAACTGGTCCCCGGAAGAGGAGGGACCTTTTCCCCTGTGGTCCTGGCCAAAATACCAGGTTTGATGGCCAAAGTGGCCAGCGGATGACACGAGACCCTGTCATTAAGGTCACAAGTCCACGTCTGAACACTGCTAGCTCCACCAAGAAGCTTTGGCCCCAGGGAATTCAGCTTCACCCTGTGATCTCCTGAGATCCTCAGATGCAGGAAGGACAAGCACCTCCCACGCATGACCTGTCAGCCTTAGGTGGACCCGGCACATACAAGTGTGCCCTCTGCCACCATCACCACGTGGGATGCACAGGTCCTTTGTGAAAGGCTGATCAAGAGCAAGGAATGCAGAGAAGTTAGGGACCCAAGCCAGGTACCCGTCGTGGTGGCCCTTCCAGGCCAGCCAGGGGATGGCCAGGTCCCGCCTGTTACGCCTGCACCCAAGACTGGCCCCCGCAGCTGCCATGCCTGGCCGAGGCTGGCGACCCCAGGGCGATGGGGACACGACCCTGGCTCTCATGAGACGCAGAGCCCAGGAGGAGTTGGATGCCTGTGCACTGGGATTCAGCAGTGGATGTGTGTGTGAGAGAGGGGGCGCTGAGGCGTCTGGGTGTCGGGGTGCAGCTCGGCTGGGGATCCCCACAGGGAGGAGGCTGGGTTGGTTTTTGTGCTTGCTCAGCCTCCTCTTTTCTTTTGCAGAGCCCACGATGGAAGCATTTGTGATCAGAGAGCTTGGGGCAGGCGCCCGCCTGAGGATGGAGACAGAATGGCCTTCTCAGGGACGTCAGGGAGAGGCGCTGCCAGCCAGGGGACGCGGGGTGCACAGGGACGGCGGAGACCGAGTTCTTGCTCTTGGAGAGTCCCACCTGCTGTCAGTGGCCAGGTGGGAGGATGGAGCGCACAGGGGAGTAGAAGCCAGGCTGGCTGGGCCACGCCTGGGAGCCGATGCCAGGGCTGCTGTTATTTTAGAGCTGTGGGTGCCGGGCCAGGCTCCATCTCTACTTGCTTCTTGTCCTCCACGTCAGTGCTGCTCTGAGCAGCCCTGGGGAAGAATTGGTCGTCTCTGCCGCTGGCCCTGTGGCTGGAGTTGAGGGTACAATGGGAGGTGAAGCTGGGTGAACCACCCCAGCTGTCCAAGCCCACCACGGCGCTGTCCCTGCCGCCCAAGCGGGTGTCTCCCACTCCCAGGCAGCATCTTCAACCCCAGGACACCTGGCTTCTGGGTATTCAGCCTTCAACTTCCTGCCACTTCTCTTCAAAGAGCTCCTGAGCCCAGCTCTCCATCGGAGGACACTCAGAATAGGGTGACTAAGTGGAAAGGACAGCACAGGTGATCACTGCTGGGATGCCTGTCAGCTTCAGGCAGCTTCAAGAGGCAGGGGTTGAAGGTGAGCCACTCTGGCCATGGTAGAAGCATCACAGTCCCCTCAACTATGCAGCAGCAAGAACCTCAGTTAATGGGTAGAAGCCTCACTATTCTCAGTGCTCCACTGTTGCCTTGTACCTGCCCTGCTCTTTCAGAGTCCAGTTGGCCAAAGGGGACGATCACATGGGTGGCTGTATGCTGGCCTGTCACACCCAGATCTGGGCCCAGCCAGGCCTGGGAAGGCACCACGGGTCCGAACAGAGCCATCACGGTCCTTGCTCCCAAACTCCTCTCCTCTCCACCTCTGGAAACACAGCCTCTGGCAATCACATCAGGGGGAAGGAGCCCCAGAGAGCAGAGAACTAGCAAGGGAAGGGACGATCAAGATACCCAGGTGGTCCCCCTGCTCCTGAAGGCTTAGGGTGGCCTCACTCTGCTGCAAGTACAAACTGCAGGACATGTGCAGGCTTCCAGGAGGGAGGGCTTGTCGCAGCCATGTGGGGAATCTGGGAATTAGTGACGCTTCCCGCCAACCCAGGACTGCAAGAAATTAGTCCAGGCCAAAAAGAAACGAAGTGGCAGCCAACCAAGAATCTGGCACAGCCGACAACAGGACGCTACGGTGAGGCTCGGCTGTCCCAGGGCTGCCAGCTGCGTGCCGTGGGGAAGGGGCCCTGAGGATGCAGGAGGGTAACGCAACACAGATGCTCTCTGTGGAGGAAGGGGCCTCCTGTCTCCACCCGGGCCTGGTCTCTACCTGGGTCTCTTCTTTCATTTCAAAGAACAAGGCCTCTGTATTCTCCTCCTCTTCCTCCCGACCCTGGGGAGGGGTCCTGCTGTGACAGGTCCCTCAGAAGTCAGGCTGAAGTCCTGAGCCCTGTTACTGTGAAGGTGACTTGGAGGAAGCCTATTTATGGATGTAACAAGTTAGGAGGACAGGAAACGAGTAGAGTGGACCCAGCCCCGAGGGCAGGAGGGTGACACGGGAGCACAGAGTGCTGGAAGCCAGCAGAAGGCAGGAGAGGAAGGCCCCCCGCTCAGGACCTCTGGGATCAGGCCCTGCCTGCACCCAGCCTCACACTTCTACCTCTGGGA